CTCTTTTTTTTTTTTTTTTTTTTTTTTTTTTTTTTCATTCCGCCAGCTGTCTTCCTCCACTCGGCCCGTCGAGTTTCGAGTGTGTTTCGAGGGTATCGAAGGCGGATTGCACGAGATAAAAGAAGTTCGTGACTTTGACGAGGAGCTCGCGAAATGAGCAATGGCTGTAACGGCGATGGAGACTCGCCTAATTAAATCCCTGACTAATTTATCGAGAACTTTTCGTCTCGTTGCAAGTTTCCCAGTAAATTAATGCTCTGTGCGCGGAAATTAATAGCCGGTTGTGACGCGTACGCTGCTCGGAAACAAATTATGAGATCTTCACCGTGAACGATTTCAACGATCACTCGATACATTGATTCATAATATTGCAATGAGAATTATACTTTGACAAGAGTGAGAAATTTGGAAACTCAATTAACAAATTAAACTCAAGTTCTTTCCTTTCTTTCCGGCAATTTCCGAGAACCGACTGAAGCGACTTTATGCATTTACAAAAGACTTAAAACGCGCGTATTATGCAGAAATATACAAAACGTTCAGCCCGAGCTACTCGTTATACTATTTAGATGGAACAAATCCCTGCTTAGTTTCCATTGCTTTAAATTCTTTATCTTATATCCCGCGGGAGTATGAATTTACATTTGTTATCTACTAGCTGTAGGAACACGTAAGTATTCTTAACAACGTCAATGCTGACTCTTACTAATGAAATTGAAAAACTTACTATGCCTGTTTCGTTTTTATCGCGGTGCTTTAATTGCAATTATTTATATTCATTCATGTATCCAGGCATTCTAAATAAGCGTTGAAACAATTAGTTCGGACATATTTCAGTAATTTTACGAAATCTCTTCATCGTTCCCACGTTTAGGGTCAAACAGGGTATACCATTGGTTTTCTAAAATAAGAGCTTCGATATATAATCTAAGCACAATATTCGGGTGGATCCCACGATCTTATTCAGTTTAAACGTTTCGTGATTTAAGTGATTGTTTCTTTAGGGTTCTCACATTCGGACAAATAATATTTATATTCTATAGCCTTTACAGATTTATTTTAACCTATTCCAAATCCAAAGAACCAATGGTTTCAATGCACTATATGTTACGGATGAGCATACATGTGATATGTACAAGTGCTGAAGAAAGTGACGAATATTTTGTTTGCGACTCTTATTCTGTTAATTACGATGTACGTATATATGTATATTTATATGTCAAAATAGTTTTTAATTCGAATTTTTCATAAATACGGTGAAAGTTCGTAAACGAGTAATTAACATAATTTTTTTATAAGAATTTTATAACTGTATCGCACTTTATACGTCTTCTAACACTAAACGTACCGGCATTTTACATATACCTATCTTACGTCAAATGACCTCTTATGAATAATTTTAGAAAGAAATTCTTAATTTATTAAAGGAAATAATTTGCAACATAACTTCTGATTTCTAACATATATTTTTATTTAAAATTTTGAAAAGGGGTCATTTCACCCCTTATGAATAAACGTTAATTTTTAGAAAGAAATTCTTAATTTATTAAAGCAAATAATTTGCAACATAACTTCTGACTTCTAACATATATTTTTATTTAAAATTTTGAAAAAGGGTCATTTCACCCCTTATGAATAAACGTTGATTTTTGGAAAGAAATTCTTA